TTATGGGGGGAAAATATGTTGCCCGTAACTCGAAGTTCGGTTAATTGTAAATTAAAGTTCGAGTTTTGAATGTGGACTTTTAATAAAAACAAAAATGAATGTTACCCTTTACTCGAATTTCTATTAACTGTTAATTGAACATCGAGTTACAATTTGGGTATGGTTTTGCAAAAGTGGGAGTGTTCATTTTTGTAACTTTATGTTTTCGTAACTCGATGCTCGCAACTCATGTTTTCGTAACTCGATGCTCGCAACTCATGTTTTCGTAACTCGATGCTCGCAACCCTATGTCCGTAACTCGAACAATTCAGCATCTCGATAGCATCATGAGTAGAAACTTAAGAAAGCCATGCATATGAATTCAAATTGAATAAAGTATACATTTAAAACGTTTACAGCAAAAGTTGACAGTCCGGATGAAGTGTAATAAACTTTGCCACCCGTGACAATGTGTAACTTTGATCCCCTAACCTTTAACCTTTTATTCATTATCTCCAAATCACAGTACCCCCGAAATTCTAGAATTTAGGTCCACAGCACAATATATAAGAGGTTGCCATCTATTACATTTGACCATTAGACATGGTAGTCAGATCCCTTTATAAATTGAGAAGTCAATGCACATGACTGCACTAATCCCATATAAGAGTCACTATTTATGAAAATGAATATTAAATCGCCACAGTTGTCACGAAGAATCATTTTCGAATATAACGGTGTAAAATGTACTGTTTGTACACGGAAATTTAAACGCGCGTTGTGTGGCAACTGTGAGGTAATTCATTATTGTGTGAAACTAACGTTATCTTGAATACATTACAGCTGAGTATATTAAATAAACTCATTGAAAGAAACGGTTTTCGTTTGCTAAAAATCATATTTCAGTGTGAATATTATCAAGCAAAAGTACTGAAAACAGTTAAGTAAACCTAAAACAAGAAACAAAACAAAAGCTTTACTTTCCGCGGATAATAATTCTGCCAGAAGCTATAATGAAGGGCGTGTAACTCTCAAAGCAATAAGTGGACCCATGAAATCATAGTTGTATTCGAGAACGACACAGAACAAAAGACTACATATGCAAATATACACATTTGTGCGTCTCATTGTGACGTTCTCGCAATGTCTCGCGCGATTTTAATGAAGTTTACATCGCATGCCACCTGTGCACACCACTTATTGCGTTACGTCATCAGCTACACATCCTCTCCACAAATCACAGCACATTTCAAATAAATTCATCGATTCCCCAAACTCCCACTTTTCGCAGGAATTGTTAGGGGGTCTAGTTCGAATAAAATTATATAATCCACTTGCATATTAATTTGTTTCAGATTTTCTGTATTCAGAATACTAGCACATCGGTCTGGTTCAAGATAAATCGAACTTTGAGTTAAAAAGTAATTTGCTTTAAGGCTGAAACCCTCCTCCAGTCCCTTGTTAGAACACTGTAAGCGTTTGGGGTTTGAGTCTCGCGTGGTTGTCATGTATGAGTTTGGGGTACCAGATGACACAGCGAAGAATATATTACAGGTAAATGATAGTACGAGGATACCCTCGTTCAAGAGTGGTTGGATTTAACCCTCAACGACGCATCATATTCAATACAAAATATAATATTTTCACACAAAAAGCTGATAACAATATTGATATTCAACAATAACTAAAATTTGCATTCTCGGTATTTTCGAAACAAGTCAGACAACTTGAACATGCAATTGGACAATTCGAAGTTTAGATATACTAGACTGATATGATTGGTACGTACAGCGAACAAATATCTACATAAAGACCCGTCTTGAGTGATATTAGAAGCAATATATCCAATTAATAACACGAACACGATATGTGATATAAATCAATGAGATCAACAGAGACAGAACACGTTTAAAATAGTGTACAATTGTTCTTGTTTGAGATAAATGTGTTCCATGTATTTGTTCTATGGTAACTGTTTGCATAATGTTGTGACACGAGTTATATCTTGTCGTTTCAAGTCCATATATAGTAACCATTTTCCATATTTGGGAGTAATATCTGGTTTAGACACTCCTGATTGGTTAATCAGTGAACGCGTTTACAGGTTATCAAATTCACATACTCCACAAGCTACTTCGTTGTCATCCTCGTCCACGAGCCACGATTTCGTATAAAACCGGCCCTATATAGAGTAGAGAAAAGAATAATGTATTATTTTCGAAGCAAAAAGTTATAACTATGTGTACAAGTGAATTTTCCTGATGCTAATTATCAATTAAAGAACACGAAATATTAGTCAGTGACGCTGTTGTATCATAACATCTCATGGATATGAGCTAGTCAATATTGGATAATTATATCGTCATACCTTAGGTACATATGCAGGTACATGAACTTCTTTTACATACGATATTGTTCCTGAAATGGAGAATTTATAAGATATTTGTTTTGCACAGCTCAACACATACGGCACGCACACTGTGATATATTACTAACAACATAAACCGAGATGTGACACACAGAGTGCAGGGGGCGGTGTCAGTGTAAGTGTGGTGCAATGATGAAGTGCTGGCGATAACAATATGTCAAATTATGTCGCCGTAATGATGAGATGATATCAATACCGTATCACAATACAATATGATGTTGGTGATATCATATCTCAATTTGATGACTGGAATACCATAT